TATATTCTTCAAATTCCGAAATAGATACTTCGGTAACGAAGGTAGGCGTGTCGCGTGAATATTAATCAAATCTTATGTATTTACTACATATTTTGGCATGACTTTGACATTCTAAAACTAACACAGACACAGCGCACGCTTACAACAACTCTCAGTCATACTCTCAAATACAGAGTGAATTATTCGCACACATACCATGTGTTACATGAATTTTGTTTCATTAAATGTAATACTAAGGCAAATTTAAGAGTCTTTCCTCCAACTTCGATTTGGTTTCTTTTGGAGTAGAGATACTTGGGCCGAAGGGTCAAGTGCACAGACGCTAATTCAAGATTTAAGTTGCCGCCTGGTAGCTAGTACCGGAGACCCCAGAACTTTTGCTTTCCTCGCTCAACGAATAAGTATCGCAATACAGCGAGGAAATACTGCCAGCGATATAGGGACATTGCCAAACTTTTAAAATTTGTTTAATTTTTATTTTATTAATTTTAATTATTTTTATTATTACTGTAGGTAGGTTGAGAAAATTGTAAATAGTACTTTATATTTGATTGTTATGTTTAGTTGAATAAATAAAATATCTACTATCATACTAAGACTACTTCTTTAAAACAATTGTTTTAAACATGCACCAAGTGTCCATGTACCACGGAATAATTCTAAAATCGACAACAAAGGAGTTGACCTTGTGTGGGGGCTGAATAAAGTTTATTATTATTAAAGTACACCACACCATACATTCTATAGAAGTTACGATCTATTCTAAAATACAGACAATTATGGTGACAAATTTACAAAAATAATATCATTCCTCTTCCAAAATGGAGAAGAAAACGTGTAACTACAAATTTTAGTTTATTTTAGTAATTAGGTAGTTATTTAGGAATACTCATTCGTATAATGTGTCTTAGATACCTAATACAGTACTTAACAACGGTTCTTTTTTAATTGACTACCGAATATATCAAGATCTGAATAAGTAACATCTATTGTATTCGCACAGGCGCCACCTTTTTAAATTCTAACATAAGAATGTTGTTTGTTACCAGCGGAATTTCGAGGATTCAGTTGATGTGAACCTTAAGTATGAATTAATAAGAGACCTAATTATATTGTTGAATTATTTTACAGACTCATTATCAGATATTTTTCATAGATTGTGAAATTTAAGGGTTGTATGTATTTTTGTATGCTGTAACAAAAAAAATTGTCTAAAAAATAAAAAAAAATTTTGTGGTGGACACCCCTTATCACTTAGGTGGTTGAAAGATAGATAGCCGATTCTCAGACTTACTGAAAATGCCTAATAAATTTCATTAGAATCGGTCGAGCGTTTCAGAGGAGTATGGGAACGAACATTGTGACACGAGAATTTTATATATTAGAAGATTTATTTTGAACTAATAACGCCACGGACGGAATGCCTTCCGTGCAACCAGTACAATTTACAGTTAAGATCCAACTTTTCGCGCTTCTTTAATTTAAAAAGTTTAAAACTAAGTTAAAATAAAACAAATTTACTTCTAAAACCAACAGTGTTATTTCTTTCAATGAAAACCCACTCAGCCTAGGCTTAGACTAACCTAAAAGTTACGGTCCAACACTTTTCAGGGGACCTATTAGAGTCGCACACGTGATGATTTTACAATGATGACACTGTTCTAGAACAAAATAAGACACTTTTAAGATCCCAAGACTAGTCAAGCTAAGCACAAGATCACTTTTATCTCGAAGACCTTGTCAGGTGTTATATATCTAATGAATCAAAGCAGACTTTTGTATTTGCATGACCGCGCATTGAACCGCGTTTGTAATAATAGTCTTTGTTTGGGACTGTACTAATTTGTTTGGGAGTGTTCTAATATTTTAATAATTTATAGTACTCAGCTCATATCATTGCACCTCATTGTTTGAGACTTTTCGTTCCAACGGAATCAAAACTTATATCGAAATTAAAAAGGATTTAATAAGCGCAATTTGTTTAGTAAATTTAAAAACATTTTTTTATTCCAGAGACTTCAACGTAACTTATACTTTGTATCAATTTAATTTATACTTTTATAAAAACTTTGAACCTAAAAGACGTTTTAATTTTATTACCACTTGAGCAATTTTACTTTCAATAAGAGCCTTAATACCAAATAAAGTCATTAAGAGACGAGAAAATGTCCTTGAAAATAAATCTTATCATGGATAGGGCAGGGCGCAGATTAAAAAGAACAGTTTGGATGGGACCCTCTTTGACATGGAATTTTTTCCCCTTTGAGAACAAAAGTCCTATCAAATATTAATTAGAGTTTGAGCAGTATTTTGAATAAATATGACAAAGCGTCAATGAGGTCAAATTACATCAACACTCTACTTTTAAGACCCCAGTCTAATATTAAGTAAATAAAATAATATGTACTGGTTTTTCTTACACATATATAATATATATACTTTAATTATATACCCCTTTGTGCGTTTCTATCGTTACATACTTAATGGTCTCACTGAAAATCAGTTCTGTAAGCATGGCCGAGTATCCATCGCGAGCGTATAGTGAGTCCAAATTAACACTGGGCACTACTACATCTTTTATTTGTTGTATTTCTTTATACGCGTTAATTTGCGTGTTAAGAAATTGTATTAAGTAAGTAAAAGTTTTTATACTGTTTAGTAGAAAGTTAAATCTGTTTTGTCACAGTCTGAAACGTTTTCTCGTAGACCAACTCCAATAACTTTTAGTCTGTGTTACCCAAATGAGTATTTAAATTCAGGCTCAATATTGAAAATGTTCCTTATTTTGGCATTGATTTTAGGCTCAATAAACAGATTTTAATCAGGTTTTATTTGCCCACTAAGTTTTGATAGAAATTTCTATTCAAAATAAATAGTGAAAGAGATTCTTGTACCACAGGGTATTTGTACACAGGCTCTTATTAATTATTTAGATATCATCGGAGACTCTGCTGCTTTTCTCACATTTCATATAAGTATCGCTCTTTGTTACTTATTCTGTTTATGGTTGTATTCGGGTACTAACCTCATGCTAGTGAACTTCCGGGTTGACCTTCAGGCGACCGACTACCCCGCGAAGGCCCAAGCAGAATCCCGAGTCTCGCAGGACACCCTTGCGCTAGTCGTGTGAAAAAGCCCACACAGCCATATACCATATACATAATTTAAATAAATTGTGCGTGTACTAGGTGTACACACGTAAGAAGTGAAACTTCTTTATGATCTTGTTTTTCGAAAAATGATCTACTATATGCAACTTTACAGAAATTCGTTAAATAAGATAAAGTTTAACAAAAGGCTTTTATTATCATAGACATGAATACAAATATTTCATTTTACCTTATTACTACGAAGATTATTATAGAATTTCATTAATTGTAATAGAATTATTACTATCATTGAAAAACGTGACGATTTGCTACAAAATTTCTCCCATACGTCGATAAAGAAGTTTCATTCCAACGCCGATAATGAAGTTTGACTTCAAAAAGCAACATGGCGCGTAACCGAAAAATGTGACGCGTAACGAAAAAATGTTACACTAAATTTTTTTCCAACCTCGATAAAGAAGTTTCACTTCAAAAAATATATGCAACTGTTATAACAACTGCGTTCTGAGTTCTGCCCAATAGTATTGTTACTTTGCTCCCACAGATACCAATTAAATAATATTAGGATATATAACAATCGCAATAGATCAAGCAGATGCCACCATGAAAGGTACTGCATTCCCGATTATGATACATCGATTAACTATATTCTACAGATTCATAATTTTTTCAATTATTTATGCTAATAATAATTTTACTATTCGATATTCGAAAAATCAATAAATGTTACTTAATTGTGTACAGACAATTAAACGTCCCTGATTCAAGCCAATGGGTGACAGATCTGCAAATAGACATAACTTATAACGCATTTTAATCGGGTGAAGCGTATATTAATTTGAAAAATAAAGAAAGAAAACATTCATTGGTAAGAGTAATACTCGTTTTCTGCTCTGTGGCTATTTGGTATTTAAAAATCAGAGTACATTAATCAAGACCCGGACAGGTCGGATAAATTGCCCTAACTCCAGGTCAATGGCGGATTTCTTATTCCCATTTCTTTAACAAATGGACGATTTTTTTTTAGTTTTAAAAAATATATTTGTGTAATAGACATGTATTACTGTCTAGGAGAAAATGAGTAAAAAAATCTAGACATGAATTTACTATTTTTTTGCAATAATGTGAGTGTTGTTTATAAACTACATTGCCATTCAATGACATTTCAAGTATGGGTAAAATGTGGATATTGTTTTTGAAATGTGTTTATTTATTCTAAATTATGATATTTATAAAAACATTCGTATCACATAAAGATCACGACATTTTTGGCACATTTTGAACGTAAATCCTGAACATTTCGAATTTGCACCTCTCTGCTTATCCAGCCAAACTGCCCAATGACATGTCTGATCCAATCTACGTCTTTCAAAGAATTGCTTGAGCTGGTCCTCGGAACTTCTTCATAAAGTTCTCTTTGTTTGCCCCCCCATAGGTCGACCACGTTTAGCGCCATTTGCAGGTAGACCCAATTTGCAGAGGGTTTCGGCAAGTTCTAGTCTAAATGTACCCAAATTGAGAAGTTGACATTCCTTTTATATTATTTACTCTTGAACATAACCCATGAATTTATAACGCGAGGTCCAGGAAATGATAAAATAAGCGCATGGTCCACTTGCGGCTCTTCATTGTGATGTGATAACGACCTATAAATGAATCTAATAAGTCCACACCCCCATGTGAGCATTGTACTCCTTGATGACTTTGGGGCATGGAATAACAACCTCTCTTTCTTCGATTTATCAAACCGTGACTGTGGTTGCTGGTTCTGCTCCTAAGTGGAAAAGAAGGTTAACGGCTTGTTATCTTTCCACACAACAGCACTTACGTCAATATCATCCACAGTCGCCACGTTTTCCTCATAGAATCCTCTGGGTACGTTCTTTTTCATTATAGTGTTTTGTCAGGCAATTTGCAGTTTCTCAATCGGTTTACTCTTACTGTTCCCAGTGAGAAAATTCCTTCCTTAGCTAAATAGATGACGAGAGGCACAGAAGTATAGAAGTTGTCGAAGTATATAATGTGATTCACATTGCGTGGTACCATTCTAGCTAACCTGACGACTGTATTTCCAGACTCTCCCAAATCTGGCTCACCAGGTAAGATGTTATTTTTGGAGCCCCCTCCACTGTAAACCTCAAATCTATGAGCATATCCTTGTAGACTGCAGATGAGATATAATTTGAACCCCCCACTTGTGGGGTTTATAGCATGTATTGTTTTATGTAATGGCTCATTTGGTTCACACATCTGCTCGTCTATGGAAAGCCTTTGGTCTAAAGGAACCTTTCCAAACTGGCAGTTGAGCATTTCCTCAAGAGGTCTTATTTTGAATAGCCTGTCATAGTCTGGATGATCTTTGGGTAAGCATAGCGTATTGTCGGCAAAATGGAGAGTGGATCTTATTTTTCAAATTTTTAACCATCGTATTTTTATGTGATCATAACCAAATTTAAACTCCAGTAAGCCCTGGTGTTTGGAAATTTTATGACTGAGGTGTAAATCAGAATGCCTAGGAATTTATTTAGGATATTTTCATTTATAATTTCAGGATTGGATATTTGTTTCTGGGCCGCGTATAAGTTACTTTGTTCTACAATTTGCTTTTTTAGATCTGATGTAAAATAAAATGAAAAAAATCATAGGCGTGTTACAAGACTCAATTTCCGTATCTGAGTTTCTCCCCTAAAAATAAGGCTGTCTTCAGCAGTAACAAATTCCGTTTTCGCCAAACCAGAGGTCGCTTAGAAATCCCTTGTGATCTACTCGGGTACTGCTTCTCCGGCTTCCAAAATAGGAGGGTCTGGCATATTTTGATCGTTGTCAATACAGAGGAGGATAGCATCCACTTCATCAGACTGGGCATTCTCACCTTCATACTATTTTCAAGGCCCCGAAGAACATCTCGAGCTGTTTGATAATAGTGACCTTCACCTCTACTTCGGAGTCCGAGGTCTAAGCCATCTTCTGAATCTTCAAGAGTTTCTAAATACTTTGTAATTTCGCTTTCTAGTAATCGGCATGCTGAAAACAAAATAAAAACCTTCACAAACATCATTTATTTAGCAATCGCATGTAGTTTTCCTACAACAACCAGATTTCCGTAATTCGACAGTAGCTCAATAATTTTCAATTTTAAATGAACATGTAATTGAAGATATAATCAACAAAAAAAATGTTATATACTTACATTATATTTATAAAGTCGAACACAGCTTCAAAACTTAGTTTCCCACTAGAAAAGTTTTCTTCAAAGTGACATTTGACATTCATTTATAATTAAAAAAGTACAAATCGTTCAGAAATAAGAACTAGTTGTCAAAATTAAAAAAAAATAAAAAAAGATAATTTTATCTGTGATGTTTAGTATGTTGTTTAAAAACAACATTGTCCATTTAAGGGTTAACAATTCCCTACCCCGTTATTGATGAGTTCTTAAAACTTCCTCTCGGATACGATAAATTTTATAATATGTTTTATTAAGGTAAATGTGGTTTATTCATTATTCTCTAATTACTATTTAATTTTTGCACATTCTAGTACGTTACAATTTAAATTTGGAACAAATAAAATATGTGGAAACATATTCGAACTTTTTAAAATAGACTTCTTACATAATATGTTTTATGCTTGCGTAAACCAAAGACATATCGAGATCTGTGGTTTTGAAAGAATCCTCCTTCCGAATAACTTGAAATATTCAATCTGTGTAATAACTATAATCTATGGTGATATATGTATTTTATAGTCTGTGGAGTTGGCGCTAAACGCATTAACCTGTGTAGTGTATAGTGTATACTACAAAATATCGTGTACACGTTAAGAAAATATACAAAGCTAATTTAAATATACAAGAAAGAGTAAATATTTTCCCGCGCTACGATAACTAAAGTTTTTAGCTTTAGTAAGCATAGTTACAGACTAAGGTAGTGTAAAAATGAAATAGCGAACTAAAATCCAGTAAGCCGCTCTGTCGTCCATTTACAGTGAAAACGTTAACCCTTTGAAATGTCCACACTCACTGATTCTCCATTTTTCTTCCTACCCATTGGCTTTTCGAAAACCAGAGATAAATGGACTTTTAGCTTGGTAAGGGCTTAAAGTAATTATACTTATGAAACTTGATGCGTATGTGTGCGTCCTATAAAAAGCCATGACAAATATTCAAAACAGTTAAACATTATCTCGATATAAAAAAAAAATACCTATTAGTATTTCGGCAATTTTAATAATGAAATGAAAGTACATATAAGCCTTACTATGTATTTTTGTAATAAATTTATTTGTCTTTATATATCTTGATCTTGAGCAGTGTTGCCCTGGTAGCTTCAGCGTGCTACTGTCATCTCTGAGGTCCTTGGTTTGAACGCTGGCTGTGCATCAATGGACTGTCTGTCTAAGGGCGCATATAACATCGTTCGTTTGTTGAAGGAAACCATCTCCCCAAAAACAAAAAATCAATTGTGTGCGTCAGGTACAGATGACTGATCACCTACTTGCCTATTTATAAAAATCAAATGAGGCCCAGACCAAAAAGGAAGCGCCATTGTTTTTTTGTTGTTTATTTTAAACAGACAACAAACGAATTAACAAACAAATATGGTGGTGCGGGGCATATTCAATTCAACCAATCAGCGCGCGAGGTGCGATTCGTTTCACAATTTGACGGTTTCACTTCGATAGATTACAATCTACCGAATAATTATACGTTAAATTGTAAGCAGTACGTTGAATTGACAATATTTCGACAGTTTACAATCTCGCGAGATAGATTACAATCTAACGGTGTTTACAATTTCACGGTGACAGATACATACATTGAAACGAACACAGCTCGTCTTTACCGATAAATACCATAAATCGTGCTCCAATATTTATTCAGTAGCAGTGCAGCAGTTTTGCGTAGCATTAACAATTTCTACACGAAATCAAATATTCAACGTTCGAGAGGTTGAACGCCTGGATCTCTTTATATCGTTTATTCCCTTCCTAGTGATACTATGATAATATTATGACTATGCCAATCTGAATGCTGTGGTTTCAAGTGAAACCTCGACGCAAATTTATTCCACGTGTGTTACTATGGCAACGGGAAAAGCGCGAGAGCCCGTAACTATATTACATGCAAAATGAGACTGGTATAAAACGAATAGGAAATAAAAGGGAGATATTTGGAGGAACATATTTGTTATATAAGTCGTATAATATAAGAACTAAAGGTTTTTTACGACTTCTGTTTGATTATATGTTACACTAAGAATACTTTTTCTGTAAAAAAAATGTTTAAACGTGCATGTACCTCGGAATAATTGTAATCTTACCCACAACACAGGGGCTAGTGTGGAGACTAGAGTTAGAGCAATTTCGTAACAACCATATTTCTGTTATGAAAAAAGTTTTATAATTATTATATACGATCAAGTGTGCTTTCTAAACCCCTTAAAGAGATTCTGAGCTAAATTTTCATAAACAATAGTTTCAGGTAAAACAATAAATAATTTCAATAAAGAAAAACCAAATTACTATTATTATGATATATTTGCTATCCTTAAAAATCCTTAAGGTCAAGCTTTCAGGTTAGGTCGGTGGTAGGTTCGAAGAAACTGCGACATCCGTCGTTCACGACTGAGCGTTTTTAAGGCACCTTTTGTCGCCACCACCAGCTGCCCATTGAAGTATTTTCGAAAGTATGCTTAGGATCCTTCAAAAAAAACGTACCTATACTTGACCACTGTTCTTTAAAAAAAACTGAGTATTGCAACACCCAAACTTTTCATTACCATTCAATTACAAAATCATTAGATTTTATTTTATTGTTATTCGATCGGGGCCAATATAACCGGGTATAAAATATAATCTTTGACTTTCAGGTAAACTGGTGAGACAGGGGACTGAAGTTGTCATTCTGATTATAACGAAATCATATCTGTATTCATTACTTCCATTTATATGTTTGGGCGTGTGAGAATATTTTTCACGATGTAAGACAATAAATACTGCCATTAGCAATAAAAGACACTCCTCACCGATATATTTCGAAACAAAGGCGGACACGTTTCGGGGATAAAATAATTCTACTTAATATTTCCAGCCTGGCGAAGCCCGAGCGCAGATTGATTCAAACAGTTTAAAAGATAAAAATCATAAAATTGTATTGGTAAGCCATTACACGACTCGGCCAATTTTCGTTGTTTGTCCTAAAGTTTATTTTATGACTGTTCGGTTATGAACAAAAACGAAAAGAACTTGTTTGGTATAATATTTGATTTTGTGATAGTTATAGTAATTTTACTATTTTTTTATTTAATGCATTCATAAATAGCGCGCGATCAGAGTGGGGTGTTTACATAATGCCGCTTTCATCTTCAATTAAAACAAAAGCAAACTTCACAGATTTCGAAAAATATTGTTCGATTTGTCCTACATACAAAAGCAAAGTATTTCATGTCATATATTTTTTTTCGTCTAATTACGACGTAAACCATCGAAATTTTATGCTTTAAAATCAAAGTCAAATTTTGAGTTGACCTGTGTTCTATGTAGGCAATTTGTCTTCAAACCCAACACCATTGTATAGACAATCTTAGATACTACGAAGAATAAAGCTATGTCGCCACTCCTTTCCGTTTTACACATATTTAGATATTTTTGTACACATATAACTTCTATCTATAGATGTATATAGTGCCTAAAATAGTTCCGGGATTGTGGGCAAAATCTCCGCTACGCACTGTGTGAGAGTGAAGACAGGTGTTACTAAATGTTAGTTTATTGCATAACAACGCATGTTCATATAATCAATTGTACACAACATGAGATGGACTAAGTGAAGTCAAACATAAATAAAGAGTAAAATAAAATATTTTAAAAAAGTTGCAGAAAAGTGCTTATTTATTTATTATATTCACTAAATGAATGCATATATACATTATACATATATATATATTAGGCATGCTAACAATACTCATACTTCTACTCTTATACAAGTCAATAAGAAATGAATGATCCTTAATTAAAATTTATTGCCAGGGTTGGTAGGTCCATAAGCTCTTATTGCGACCCTATTGACAACCTACATCTGAGATGCATCGCATATTCATACAAAGACATCGAAAAAATCAGCCCGTTTAAGTTTTCACGTGACCTTAGCGATAATCAGATATAGGTACTGCTCAAAACAATTAGCGGAACAAGATTTTTCTCCTTTCTATTGCTTAAACTAAAATTAGATTTAAATTAACTTGTACGCTATTTTTTACCTTGTTAATTTGTTAATTACTACAATTAATAAAAAAATTCAATTTGTATTTTTTTTATTAAAAATAAAATAAAATGTGCATTGTAGACGAAAAAATAATTGGTGATAAAAAAGGTCCATCAAAGAAATATTCTTATATCGTTTGAATATTCGTCTTTAGTGACTTTCAGTAACGTGTGTGGCCTCCATGAGCCCTAATCACGGCTTGACAACGACGCGGCATGCTTCGTATGATCCTCCGAATATCTTCTTGTGGAATTCGCTCCCATTCTTCTATCAACGCTTCGGTGAGCTGCTGCAGTGTTTGAGGTGCAATCGGACGCTTCCGGATGCGCCTGTCAAGCAAGTCCCAAATGTGTTCAATTGGATTTAGGTCAGGGCTCATGGAAGGCCACTCCATTACACGGATTTCCTGCTGTCGTAAGTAATCTGACGTGATGGCTGCAGTATGCGGCCTGGCATTATCTTGCATTAAAAGAAAATCTAGGCCCATACCATATGCTGCGGGCCAAACATGATCTTTGAGCACATTTTCAATGTAAGTTTGAGCACACAAGCGCCCGGGAACAACGGCGAGATCTGTGCGCTCGTCCAAACTAACTCCGCCCCAAACCATCACAGAGCCACATCCAAATTCCTGGACTGCTGCTGCACTGTATCGCTCGCCTGGGCGTCTGTAAACACGGAGACGACCATCGCAACGTGTTAGACGGAATCGTGGTTCGTCAGTAAAAAGCACTGGCCTCCAATGTCGAAGTTGCCAATTAGCGTGATTTTGCGCGAACTGTCGGCGAGCT